TAAGAAGTTTAAAGATTGAAATAAATACAAAATTAAATTAATTCAAACTAAAAATCACAATATTAATATGCACTAGATGTTTATATTTATAATCAGTAATATCTTTATATATATTTTACTTTTTATTTTAAGATATGAATTAGAAAAATAGTTTTTAATAATATTAAAAAGAATTCAGAAACACCTTATGTTATAAGAACTATAAAATTTGATGAAAATTTAAAAAGACAAGAATTTTTATAATTAATAAAAAAAAGGAATAGAGCATTGGTTTAAGAAAAAACAGATCAATCAGAATATATAACTTTATGTTATTAGGAATACAGTTGGCTAACATAATTGTTTTAAAGTTTTTGTATTATCTAACTATTAATTCTCTTAATACCTTTTTAGCTAGAACTTAAAATACAGGAAAAATCTATTAGTCTCTTTCTAACACAGGAATGATGTTTAATTATATATGTTAAATGAAAAGTCCTATAAAGACTAACAATTATCCATATTTTACTACTCAAGATGATTAGTATTTGTAAAACTAAACAAATGACAGTCAATAAAAATTAAAAGCTTTATTGGATAACTACTAAAGCTTAAACAAAAAGATTATTTACTGGATGATTAATCAATTTAATTATTTGATTAGATAAGTTTTTCAACTTTATGCAAATTTTTACCTGATGTAAGCATATTTGTTTTATTTTAGACATACGCTAATGTTTCAACTTCACTTTGTCCACAAATTCTGTCAGGTGTTTAAATTTAAGGATTAATACAATTAGATAATTGAAATTATACAATTATGTTGAAATTTAAAAGACTTATGAATTCTTTTGTTATAATGCTATATAAACGTTAAATTTAATTTATATTCAATATATTCTGAAAAATAAGTGAATAATTTAACATTTTAAAAGAGAATTATTGAGAGCTACATTTACTGCCAAGGATTTTAAGGAATTGACAAAAAAACTATTTTCAAATATCTCCAACTATTCAGAATAGATATCATCTAACTTTACTGTTGCTTTTCATTATAATGAGATTATTTATCATTGTGCTCTTATTTTATAATTAAGATTCGGATTTAGTAGATAGTTGATTAAATATGATAAATTTTTCATTATTTTGAGTGATCAATAAAGAGATTTTAAGAATTAATGATTAATATATTCATTCATTTTGTGCTTGCAGACTCAATTTTAAGAATATATTATGTGTACCTTTAAAGTGAGTAATTGAGTTAACTTTTGGATTAATATAATGCATCATAAAATAACAAATTTACTATAATCTTACTAGTTTTTAAAGATATATTGTTTTAAATAAGGCAAAACTATTATTACATTATTATCATCAAGTAATAGGACTGCCAACAAAATATTATAGTCTTTATCATCTTATATAACATTTTCTTGAATGGCCTTAAAATATTAGACAGCATATTTTCCTAATTCAAGTAAAAGTTTAAATATCAAGGCATAACCAATCCAATTATGGAATACTTTGAAATAATTAGTCTAAATATTTTACATCTTATTTTTATCAGTTTTTTATAAAATTCTTTGAGTTTATAATTAGAAATTTGTTAAGCATTTAGTTGGGCTAAATTCTTTTACGGTTTTGTTGTTTAACTTAAGAGTTCCAATAGGTGAATTTCATAGGGATGTAAGTTGATAAGAAAAATGCTTGATTTGTCTACAACAATAATTGGGTTTGTTACAAAAGATTCAAACCATCTATTGTCTGAATTACAAAGTTTCTAATATTTTAGCCTCATATCCATTGTAAGATGGCAAGCAAATACAGTCGCATCGCAATACAGAATAGTCTGCCTTTTTACCTTTATAAAATTATAATTTAGTGCCCTGATTTTTCACTTGAATTATCAGCCGCTCTAAAAATGTTTGATTTTTTGGAAAATTCTATTAATGATAAACATTTCAGAAACTTAGAGAAGTCTATATTGAAATTATCAACAATCAAAATTAAATCCTCCTAGATTCTTTGCAAGATAACTTTTTTACAGAAATATAATCAACTATTAAAGTGGTATGTCAATATTATAAAGTTTAACATCTATTGAAAAGGTTCTAGGTAGTTTTCTGATAATTAAATCCTATAATATAAACTATTATGCAGTTAGTTAAAGTAAAAGCATAATTAGGGAAGTTAAAAATAATATGGATTTTCTTTCTGATTATAAAATTTAGGATCAAAATTTTTACAAATAAAATCAACAAAATAAACAGAAGATTTTTCTTAATAACTTTTTGCATATATGAGCTTAAAAATGATATGTAGTTAATACAATCTCATATAATCAAAATGGATGATAGAAAACTAATTTGAGGAATTTGTAACTAATTTAGAATCAAATTTTGAATATTATTGAGTCTATTGATAGAATATCTAAGAGATTCCAGATTTTACTAAAGCATATGATAAAAATAATTTAGTTCATTGAAGAAGCGAGATTATTGTTTGTGTTATTTTTTCCATCCAATTTTTCATTGGTTGAAAACCTCTATGGAACATTTTGAATTTAAATCAATTTGATTGAAAAAAGAATTGAATATATCTGATCTGCTCTGCTGCTTGGTACAATCAATCCATTAAACAAAAATTTATTGTTTAAAACTGGGTTTAATCTACCTATCCATATTGCAATATAAAGAAACATCTTGAACTCTTGTTATAAAAAAACTCTAAGTGTTAATTTAGCACAGTATTTAAACAATCATATTTTCCATTATCATTTTGCATAAGCTAAGTAAATAATGCCCTTTATTTTTCAATTATTTTCTCATGTCTATCAATACTTTAAATTTCTTCAATATTATTTGAAACTACTTCTTTTTTCCAAATCGTATATCTGAATTTCTACACTGTTAAAATCTAATACTTTATTGTTATGTCTTTCTAATTTTTATGTTGCCCATTTTAGATCTGCACAAATCTAACTATATATTTAGCCTTAATTTCTCATTTTGTATTTCAAGAAAGCATAAATAATTAATTTCAAATCTAATCTATGATTCTATATTTGTGAATATTATTATATTGAGAAGCATGCATTATATTATAGTAATTAGATTTCTATATATTGAGGTTATGTCAAAATCAATGATGTATTTGAGTACAATCACTTAAATCAGTCAATGAGGAATCTAAAATTTCAATTCTATAAAGCAGCTATTCTTAGCTTTTATTGTTAATTAAATGATAAAAGTTAAATGTGAATATGTATTGCTATATTAACAAGAAGAGATTTCTATTTTATTAATATTACCAAAACTATATAGATTATATAATATTGCAAATCCACTTAATTAAAAATTTGAATAAACTTGATAAATTTGCTTAGAATAGTTTTTTAACACCAATAAAATTTATATAATTTATATAATTGTGTAGGAAATCCTTGATTTTAAAGTTAATAATATTGAATTGATTCTCATTATTTCTTAATATAAAATAATAATTAATTTTATATATATAATTTGTTCTGATATTTATAGATTAGCAACAACTTTTTGATTATTTTAATTGCAAACTAAAATAATAGAAAATTTTATTAAATAAAAATTAGATAATAATTTCAAGATAATCTAACCTTAACCTCGATAAATTTATAGTATATATTTGAATTTGTGCTATTAATAGATCTTTATTATTAAATAAATTTGACAACTTATTTTTTTTTTAAATTTTGATAAAAGCTTTTATGTCTAATATTGAATTGTACTAAAGTCAGGTTAAAATGCAGTGTCTAATAAGCTTTTTTTTGGATTGGTTCTCTTCTGATAAACGTCTTAAATTTTTTTCACCTATCTTGAATATTTTACTCTAATTATTTCAGCCATCATTTTACATTTAATTCATCAAAGCACCCAAAATCCGGTAAATTTGTTATTTATTAGAATCTACCCTCATTTATATTTGTTAGTTTGGCTTGTTTGTTCTCTCTCTTTTATAATATCTTCACTTCCAGAAAAACATTATGTTTGTTATACACAAAATTTTTCTTAAAATTTGGAAAGATCAAAGGAGGTTAATCTAAATAGTAAGAAATAAATTAATAAAATTATTTAAAGAAGGCTAATTTGCTTTAAGCAGAAGGCAGTGAATATGAGTTTAAATAAATTAACTGCTTTATGCCTTTCCTTATATATAAATGCTCATCTAATATAAGCTATATTTTGGATTAAATTTACTTTTCAAAGAATTGAACAAAATTTATACTACATTTTTTCCAAAGTTGCACCAAAAGAAACTCTAGAAAATTGCCAAATTATTTAAATTGATATTAAACCCAGTACTAAAATAATTACTCAAGGTTACCGATCTTATCAAATATATTATTATTAGTAATGGATTTTAAAAAAACTTAAACTGTTTTTAAATGAATAAAATTGAACATTTTGTGTATTTTGATAAATTTTAAAATAAACAAACAAGTAAAAAATCATATTTTAAAAATTCTTTGGGTTGACAAAGCCATCAAAGGTGCAATTTCAATTAATATGAGTACGAGTATTGTATTTCGCTAACAATGGTGACAAATGTTCAGAATGCATATATGAAATGCCATCGTAGACTCAAAAGAATTTTAAAATAGTGTAAAAGAGGTGTTTCTGATGTAATTTAGTTTAATATATAAATCTAAGAGGATTTTTGACTTTTTACCATAAAATCAGATTAAAAAGAAAATGAAGAGTAAATAATAGACAACACTGAAGTATCAATAATTCTCTTTTGATCAGCCATCTTTCTTATGAGAATTTAATACCAATCAAATGCTTAAATCATAGTAATCTTAAAACCATAATTTTTAATTTTAAATGCTAATAATAGCATGGAAATCCTTAAAAAGCTCCACTAATATATTATTAATGGAGCCAATTTTTGCTATTTTTGAAGTTATTTTTGGGATGAAGATACCTAATTATAGTTTATTTTAAAATCAATTGATAGTAAAAGAGATGAAATTTTCAGCTAGTGTAAAAAATGGTAAAACCAATACAGAAGTTACAATTAAATAATTACCGTATTTTATTTACAGAAAAAGCTAATAAGTAACCGCAAAGTAATCCTATATTTGAGAGAAGGATAAAAGTTTATTTTTATACCTATAATTTGTATAGACTTTGAATTTAAAGTTATTTTGGGTGTAGAATTTTAAGACAAATTTTAACAAAAATTCAACTATTAATAATTGGGATTGCAAAAAGAATAATATTGATTAATATAAAATGATAATGAGAATATATTTGTATTAGTTTAATTTGAAAGTTTTGATCTTATTCCGGGTATTTTGTTTGCGCATATAATCTTTCATAAAAATCAAAGACTTTAAGAAAGTATAAATCATAGGAGGATGGTTTTCTATCAAATTTTTCACATTTATCCTCTTATTCATAAGAAATATGTAAAAAATCCAAATTGTTTCAAAATAAAATAGATTTTTATATTTGAGAGATTTAGAAATAATAATTTTTAATTCTAGTATCAATTCATTAATTAAATTTATATATCAGTCACATTTGATTTAAAGAATTCATATGCAAAATTATTATAGTAATAGAATAATTACTATATTTTCACAAAAAAGATTCTAATTTATTTTAAAGATGAGTGGAATAAATATGTAGAAAAGCTTCTCTTGAATCGAAAGAAGTTTTTAAAGTATTATCAAAACTAGCAAGATTAGATGCAATGAAAAAATTATATATCTAATTTATAAATTTACTTTTTGTTAGGGATTCATTAGAATTAATCAAGAAATCTAGAAGAAGTTTCTTTAATTAATAAATGAGATCTTTTAAATATAATTTTTTCAAATCATAGCACAGCAAAATATATAAGTTAAAACTTTCACGAATAGTCACTATTGAAATGTAAATGACCTTGATTTTTATAAATGCAAATTGCCAAATGATTCTCTCTTTAAATTTTAGGATGATCTGTAAAACCTGATAAAAAAAAAAAGAATCATAATTATTTTAATTGCAACATTGACTTGTAAATTATTTTAATGTACTTTTATTTTAGATCCAAAAAGAAGCCAAACAAGGAAATTTAGCATAAAATATGGAATAATGTAGATATTGTAGATACTCTAATTTATAAAAAAGTAAGATTTTTTAATATTAGTCAACTGATTATTTTCTGGTATTTAGAAAAGAATCATTAAATATCATAAATTTAGATACTATAAAACTCATTACATCAAAGTTAGAATAATAACAGAAACAATCAAGAATTACAAAATAAAGATTCAGTAAATAAAGAAAATTCGTACTTGTGGAAACCATATCAATAATACAACACTACAGAATAATTTATTGTATAATAGAAATGAATATAAATTACTTAGAAGTGCAATAATAGTGGATATTGATATCAACTACAAGTCGATTTGCCTTTTGACAAAGAAGAACTTAATATGAAACAAGATATAAAATGCTAAAGGTGAATGCATTAATTTCACTTTTTCTAATAAAAGCTAGTAAAATTCACTTTTCATATCAATATAAACAGAAATAAATGAATTTCTTCTCAGAATTTTTGAATTAAAAAAATGGTAAAAAATTATACTTGGAATAATTCAAAGGTTTTGATATGCTGATCCTTAAATAAATGTATTTATTACTGTTCCTTCTAATCAAGTAATTATGTAGTTTAGGAGAAGGGTGACTTTTGCTGGAAGAGCTAGCAAAAATTTTAAGTCATAAAACAAATCAAGTCTTAAAAGTACTGTGTACCAGTAGAACTGAGTTATTTAAAATAAATCCAAAATTTATCTATCCATATAATTATTTTATTATTTGTGAAAGATATTTTTTTAATTCTTTTTTTTTGTCAATTAATATAATTTTTTAATTATTAAGAAAATAAATTAATTGGGTTTAATAATTTGTATGAATAATTATTTTATTCATACAAACATCTATTTCAGTAATTATATATGTTACTTGTTAATAATGAAAACATATTTTATATGATTATTTCTTATATTGAATTAATATAATTATGTTATTGATTATTACGATGAATTTTATTTTTTTATTACATTCAAATCATTTTTTATTAATAATTTAAATATTCATAAGAAAAGCAATTTATAATTCAAATTTTTTAAAACTGACTAAATTAGAATCATACTTAATAGATTTCATTCCTTAATAATGTTTCCGTATTATGTTTTAAAAAATAAATATTTAAAAGAATCTAAAAAAATTTATGGTAATGTAATCCAGTACCAAGAACTTTAAGCATTCTATTTAAATCAATTCCTACTGTTTTTTTTTTTATTTGATAGAATCATGGTATGTTCAAAAGTTAATTAATTTTTTACAATTTTAGTTATTACCTTACTATCCATCTTAGCTAATTACCCGTAATTCCAATTGTTGTTTTTAGTAAACCTTTTCGTTTATATATCTATTCCAGCATTTAATTCAATATCTAAGGGCACTAATTATATATTCTTTTTCAATGCTGAACTTGTGAGCTCTTATTATTTCAATAATATGCTGGATTAGCATTTAGATGAACATATTTTTAAGTGAGAAGGCTTGAAATATATTAATAATTCTTATGTAGAATATAGGGTCAATTTTAGCTTGTGTTATGCGTATGATTTTTATGTTTACCCTATTCTACTTCAGTTTTATTAATTATCTATGATTCTTGTAAACCTTAAAAAACACTTTAAATTTAACTAACCCTATTTTTCGGGTTATCTTGGCTGCTATTTTACATGAAAAAAAGGGACAGTCTATTAGAATTATGTATGTTCACTACATT